GTGTTGCCCAAGGCAGCAGCGATACACTACTCGAGGTGGCAGTGCCTCGACTAGCGCGCTGCAGGAGCACAAGCCTCCTTGCTGCGCGTGTAGGCTCCAGGCACATAAGGTCTATCAGCGCAAGCTACTGCAGGGACAACGCGCGCACAGTGTGTGACGCCTGTTCGTGCATGAGGTGACCGGCGGACGGCCTGCCTGGCGCGACAGGATGCGTGCAGTAACTGACCCCATGTCGTGCGCGTGGATGGGACGTGCACGTTGTGCGCACGTCCCACGTCCACTGTGCGTGCATGTGCGTGTGCACAGTGTTTAGCAACCGCGCGGGCAACCAGACTTCATGCGGGATTTTTCCCTCGGGATTTTCTTCCTGATTCGTCATTTTTGGATTTTTTTTCCTCAATTTTCATATTTCATTTAAATGGGTTAGAATAAAATTATTTAAAATAAAATAAAATAAAATTAATTAAAATAAAATTAAATAAATAAAAATCAACTAAAATTACAGAATAAGATAAATATTAAGTAGCATAAATTAATTAAATTTAACGCGGCCGAAGACTCGAATAAATAAGGTTTCTAAATTATTTTAGCATAGTGATGAGCGGGGTATTATAGTATACACCTATTTCTACAAGTTCAATGTATCATACCCACAATTTTTATCTAGTCCAAATATAACAAATAATTTTGATAGTAAATAAAATAAAATCTAATATTTATTAAACTCCCATTCCGATTCTCTATCATCTTAATTATTAGTATTAGTCAGGAATTTGTATTGTTATTATTATCCTAATTTCTATTTTAATTATTTGAAAAAAATAATAATGATAACAAAAAGGGTGACGCAGCCAAAAAGAAGAAAACTTAATTATTCTTAATTTATGTATTAACCATTATTTTCGTAAAACAAAAGAAAAAAAAAAGAGAAAGAAAAGTAAGAAAATGTAAACAAAAAATAAAAAGAAAAGAATAAAAAAAAACAAAAGAGAAAGAAAAAGAGCAGAGAGGAAATGGAGCCCACCTTTTAAAACTAGAAATCAAGCCCAAAACCACCAGCCTCCATTCCCTTGCATTTTTCTTCGGAGTCCAGCCGGAGCCCTTTTCTTCCCCAAAACGGCTGTGTTTTGGTGAAAGAAATTAAAGCCGTGAGCAAAACGTCGCCGTTGTGGGAAGGGGGTTTAGGTTTTGTTCTATTTCTTTTTGCAGAGAAGCACAGGGCAAACCGGAGTAGGTGAGGCCAGGGCATTGTAACGATGAATGAAGATAGTTGGCGATCATGGAGATGACAAAACGACGGCAGAACCAGAAGTTGAGAAAAGAAAGGAGAGTTGCAGGCAAATGATGATGATGTTGACTCAGCACGAGTTGAAGAAAGAAGAAACCAGAAACAGGTGAAATTGGTGATTGCATGACGGAGCGTGCAGAACTTCATAACACGAGGAGAACAGGCGCTTAGTGAAGCTCCTCGGCTATAAAAAGGGGCTTAAAAAATAAAAGAAGGGCACTGTTTGGAGGTGAGAATCTTCCTTAAAAAATTCTGTAAATCGTTTGCGTGAGTAACCGAGAGGAAGAAGAAAGAATAAAAAAAAAAAAGAGTTTAAAAGAGAAAAACTAGTGTTTAGTAATGAACCTAAACCCTACTGGCAACTTATAGTCTTCATTTTAGTCTCAACAACCCAAACCCAAACCCAAACTCTAAAGTGAAATTCTATTTTATTGAATATCGTAGCAGAGAAAGCTTTGGTCATAGCAGAGGAAGCTTTCAACACTGAGGTAAATTGCCCGCTAATATGCTCCCATCTGTCGTAGACGGGATGAGTAAAAACCTGCAATTGACGGCTAACAATTGTCAATCTCAAAGCGGATAATCTCAGTGACGGATAAAAAATTTATTATCCCTCCCGAATACTTCTATACTTTAACCGGGAGTAATATGGAGAATGACACTCCCTAGGCTAAACAGTTGTCTCTCTCAAACCGGACCAGGTAAGACTGATGAAACGCACTTGTTGAACCCTTAACCCAGCCAAATTTGTTCACTGAACCGGGCCTTCGCTGGCCCCATAATTATCCTAACCGGACCGGGTCCACCAACTGACCGGGTGGCCGAGCCGGCGAGGCCTTCCTTGTCCTGGTCTGTCTCTGAGTCCAAAGTTCCGTGACTTCAGCATGTTGTGTTAGTTTGCAGGTGAAGAAAGGAGCGCTTTGTTTGACAGATATCAATAAGAAAAAATCAAGAACAACAAGAACAAAATAAAAGAGATTAGCTTCCGAGTATACAGAGAAGAAGCTAATGGTAGGGGGAGGGAGGAGGAAAATACTGGTGGGTTTGGTGCTGGTTATGTGTTTAGGTATAGCCGTTTACTTGAGGCTTTGGACTATCGATTACTCCATTTCGTCTAATGAAGCTGAGATGATAAGGTGTGTCCGATCATAGTTTTGGTAATATTCGGGTTTCTTTTTAAATTCATGACTGGTTTTCCCTAAATACACCCCTTTTTTTAATAAGTGCAAGACGCATGGACCTTCTTATCTGACGGGGTCCTCATCGAAATCATGTAAACTTCGCCTAATTTGATATACTGGTGAAGCTTTCTGAGTTTTGAATTCTTTGGTGACAAAATATAGTGATTTGTTCTGAATTTCAGATATCGAGTCCAGTTAGTGAAAATTTCCCATTTCTATTGCGTTAAGGTTATTCACTTTGTGATGATTTTGGTTCCAAAATGCATTTAAGTTTCTTTCATATTTTCGGTTTTTCCCATTTTAATTAAATAGTATAGGATCTGTGTGTGTTTGCTCGCTTAATGGATTTGTGTTTCTGTTTCTCTTCAGTTGCTAATTAGATGGTTGTCTTTATGGGATGAAAATGCATAGGAAACAGTTTGATTTAGCCAACAGGGAGGCAATGGAGGAATCTGCTGAATGGAGACTGAAATATGATGTGGAGGCAGAGAGGGCTTCCAATTGTCTTAAAGAATTGATGGAGGTATTCCTGTTGTTCTTTAGGTTTTGCATTTTGTTTTCTCTTCAAGTTTCATTGTTTCGTGGTGCATGATTCTGTTTATCATTTCATTATATTGCTTATCTATACATGCTGTTATTCCTGGATGAACTGGTTGTTTTAGCTATCCCTTTTTCAAATTTCAACACTGTTTCTGTTAAATTCAGTCAATGTAGACTTTCTCTACATGTTATGTGTTTTTGAGTAGTTACTCTTCAATATTACCACATATAGACAAAGTCCTTTTCAGGAAGATAGCTCTTTTGGGATTCAAAATATTTGATACTTTGTTAGTCTTAATTGGAAGGTCATTCTACGTCGCTAATTTCCTCTCATTGGTTTAATATATGGTTTTTGTTCATGTTTAGTGATTTGCTTGTTCAATCAAACATCAATTGAGTTGGGGATTTTTAATGGGTAGACTCTGGCAGAAACTTTATCATATTGACTATGGTAATTGTTTCATTTCCTTCCTCTAGATTATTCATTTGGCAGCTTTATATGCAGAGTTAAAACAAAACTTGCATAAGCATTGTTCTTTCTGAGGTCCCTACCCTAGAAAATTTTTTGCAGTTTGATTCTTGTTTGGAAGACTGTATAATTTTTCTTATTTTGTTTATATATCCATGTTTTATTTAACAACATCAGTGCAAATCATTTTTAAAACTCCTTTTAGTTCTTGTTATGGAATAACCGATGTAGTTCGGTTATGAATAGGAAATATAACCATTTTACCTAATAATTTTTAGGTAGTTAGAGGAAACAATAAACCAATGTAAAGAAATATTACAATGTACCTGCATATGGGCTGCAGCTGAGACATTATGATGATTGCATCGTCGATTGAATTTTCTCTGTTCTTCTCTCTGTAGTTTTTCCCTCTTTGCCCTTGAGTTGTTAACGCTAGCCCTAACCCTTTTCCCTTCTGCCCTATTCACCCTTTTTCCCATTTCTCTTACAACAATTTTCCCTAGGTTATTCTAAAATGGGTAGTAAATTGTGAATGACTAAGGTCCAAGGGTTGTCTCATGGTCTTTCTAAATTTGAATTGGGCAATGGGAAAGATGATGGTGACTTAGTTATGCGCTTGGGAAGGCATCAGGTATGGGGCGAGTAGCAGAGGGGTCATTCAGCTCATTCATTCCTTTTTATCTATTTTATGGGTTATTTATTAAGAAAGCAATTGGGAGCTTTTTGAGAGGGGTTTTTGCCCTGTGTAGATATTGTTGGGTTTTTGATCCTTGGTATTTATTTAGCGTCATCTTCTATATCTGAGAAGGGTTCTGTTGACCTTAAAAACTCTTGGCTGTTACCTTTGTGTGTATATTTTATGGATGGCATTCTCTTGGGCTCTTTCATATGAAATTTCATTTCTGCTTGCAAAAAGAAAAAAATCACTTTTTCAGCAAATAGATAGATAAAAATCTATACAAAATTTCTTTTGTCTCACATTTATATGTCAGTGGAATTTTAAGAACTAAAACACATTGGGGACTGTATAGCAGTTAAATGTCTTTTTTTGTCCACCCAAAATGTTCATTATGGGGAACCCATTTTTTTAAAAAAAAGGTTTATAAGTTGCAGGCTCTGTGGAACTTACTTAGCATGTTTCTCTTTTGACAGATTAAGGAGTCCATGGAGGGGGATGGTCCCACTGGTGCAAACCAGAAATTGAAAGTGCTGCAAAAGGTTGAGCATTTTTCCTTTTGATACTTACCTTTTGTTGCTGTTGACATTTTCTTTGATAATAATGTTTATATCACATCTTCTGCAATTATGTTGGTCAAGATTATGCTGATAAGACCATGATGAAATGAGCCCAAGAATCCCTCTCCCTTCACATTTTGGCTATTCAATGATCACTTACTTTCCAGTAATTTTTCATTTCGTTTCTGACTTTTTATTTTAGCTGCTTGACTTATTGAATTTGTTAAGTCTTTGATCATTTTAATATCATTTCTGCAGTATCTGTATTAAATGTTACATACCACTCATCTGGTAGCTTGTGTTAGAAAAGAGAGAAGATACTACTACATAAACGTGGGCATAGACAATCCTAGAAATGAAAGTTAGTTTATCCATTCACTAAATTTGCAACAACTAAAATCTGCAAATATATAAATCGGAGTGGAATTATATCGCTGCTTATCTTTCTTTTCATCAGCATTATACGCTACATGAGTGGTTATGGCATTTAACAGAGATTGATGGAATGGTAACAGAAGAATGATGTGAAAAGTCATTTGCAAGTTGAGTGACCATATAGAAGATTAACTCTTAGTTTTACAACCTGAGGATCATTGAGGAGTTACTCCATTATTAATTCTGGAGCATATGCTTGTGATTATTTCACAGGAAAGGGAAGCCTTGCTTAAGGAAGTTGAAGACTTAAAAAAAGAGCTTGAAGCTGAGAAGTTGAGGTGTCACTCATTAAAGCATCAACTGACTGCATAAGTTTGATAGGTTAGCATGATTTCCCAGCGTTTCTGAGGAAAATCTCTTTCTCGTGTAGTTATTGCAGAATGAATATTATGGGGGCCAATTAGTTGTTATTCAGCCAGGTAAAGGGTACTCTCATATATATACGTTTAAAAGTTTATCAATCTTTAGGCAAACACTTTGCCAGAGTCACAACATTTTTGTACCACACGAATGATCTCATTGTTCTTCCACCGAGCACACACTGCTATAGATTTTGTACTAGTGCTATCGCATCTTAAAAATTTTTGTGAACTTGTAGGATGTGTAGATATGAACTTACAAATGATGAAGCCTTGTTCTTTCATTCCTGCTATGTAAGTGATGAATATGATTACAAATTACTCATTCATGAATAAAACAGTTGGTGTTGATTCACTGTAAATCTTATATTTTTCTTTGTAGTGGATATTGCATATGATGTTGTACTTATTACTCATCAAATTAAAGATTATTAAGTGTTATATTAAAATTTGTTTTTATATTTAACAAATTAAAATAAATAATAAATTCAAATAATTAAGAATAAATTATCTACTATAGATATTATTATATTAATTTATTTTAGTATTAAAAATTTTTAATAAAAAATGAGAATTAGTAATATAAAGTGTTTACAATGTAATTTAAGAAGTTTGACAATGAGATTTGAGAACATTGATAAGAATAATTTAAAACCTTTAATACGTAATCAATAAAATTAACGTTATTAATTAAGGAATCAAGTGAAAGACCTTCACTGGCTGCAACTTAATGTAAAATTAACTGCCTCCTTTGCTTGAACAACTTTAAATTCAATCACCACAGCGCATCCTACAACTCCGGTTACTAACCAGCAACCAATTCGTCTTCATACAAGAGAACAACACACTTCTGCAATTACATAATTTTTTTATAAGAAAGCAGGAAATCTAAAACATATCACAAATCACAAATCCAGTGTCATGAACTCCATCCCGACTGACTCATACTGCCTGGATATTGTCCAGGTTCTGTTCCCCCTAGCAGTACTCACTCAATGGTACATGTTCTATTTTCAAGCAAACAAAATTAGCCAATTTCATTCACGGAATTCAAAATCCAACTTAGGTTCATAATACTCAGGGATACTTAACAAAAATTCTACATGTAAGAGCTTCACTTATTCGCTTGAAAGACCTTAAAATCACTACATACATGGGCACAAATGAATTAATTCCAAATAAAAATAAAAGTAAAACTAAAACTAAATAAGGTGCGACCAGAATCACGGGTTTCTGGTAACTCACCGACGAGCACAACTCCAGTTTTTAAAGAGGCTCCTGTAGAATACCCCTGTGAAGTTCGGGTTCCAACACTTGATGGAAGACCCTTCAGCTTATCGAGTTAGGTGCACGATTTTGGCTTCTAGGTCCTGCATACACACACAAATATTCATCCGATCAAAAC